AATTTCCTTCCGTTTAAACTCAAGGAATTGTGAGGAATTCTCATGGCTTATTACGTCGTCCCCTTAGTGATTATTACGCATGTAATCCCCTTACAAGGCAATGGTGTAAAATTCCTCCGTTGACTTATCGTATGAGTTTCAAAGTTGGCTATGTCGGGTTCATGTGCTATTCCTTGGACCCCAATTTTCCTCATAAGGTTGAGTTCATTGTGTTGGAGATTGAGCTTAAAACTTAAAAGGCACAAAAAAGACGAGCTTTTCTACCCCAATAATCGTTTGTTGATCGAGTTCCCTTTATACAGTATTTGCAAAGTACGAATACACTAGTCATTCTTGTTCTCTCATAATCATTTTATGGCGTTTTAAACCCCGACTATTTATTCAAGGATCCTGGTTTGACCCAAGGGGAACCATCTTGTTATTTGTTGCATTGTCTAGGATATTGAACTAATATGTCTTAAAGCATCTCTAATAGTTGTAGGTAGGAACTTGTTGCAATTTTCAAATTGCTTGACCATTGGAATAAAAGCTTATTGAGAAAGTGGTGCTCATCTAACATAGGAAGCTAAGCTAGTACCTGATCATTGGGGTACAAACTAACTTACTAGCTTAGCTAGAAAGTGAATAATTGGCTTGAAGCCTTACATGGCATGGCACAATTAGCGTGCTATGTAGGAGTTGGCTTCAAAACTAGATTAGGTATATAGATAATAATTAGTCATTATTAAAAATATTTAATTGGATGAAAAAGATTTTTTTTAATTATTAGGGTATTTTCATTTTTACCACCTTCAAATAATGACTTTGTCGAATTTACCACCTCCAAAAAAAAACATTTACTTTACCACCTCATAAAAAAATTAAACATCAGTTTTACCACCTCATCTGAGCTCAGGTGACAGAAAACGCTTGTGGGGCCCAGTTAACTGTCACTTCCCTCCAATTTAATTCTTTTAAAATCGATTTCCCTCTGTCTCCTCCTTTTCTCACCTTCCACCTTCCATAATCAATGTCTCACCAAATTTCTCACTTCCTCATCAATTTTCGTCTCTCTCTCCTTTGATTTTTCTTGATTCTCACTGTAACTGCTTCTCTCTCCTTTGATTTTTCTCTTTCTCTCTGTAAAAACTGAAACCCTAGATCAATTTGGGTGGTTGAAATCGAGCTGGAACCACAAAATTGCAACACATCAGCTTCTCTTGTCATCTTCCACAGTATGAGGGGACCAAAAGCTTGGTAATTTGCTGACAGAAATCGAGATTCCTGACTACAAGAGGTACTTTAAACCCTTTATTAGTACATTTCGTTGGATTTATGGTTGTCAATTGGGGTAAAGTATGCCTTTTTTGGGAATCTGTGAATTAAAGTATTATAAACCCTAATTATGCGAATCTTTGACTGAATTAGAGTGTGCATTTGTTAAATAATTAGTTAATTAGATTTACTTGTTTACTGTTAATTTAGTGCATAGTCAATGTGAATTGCTTTTACTTGCTGTAATTGGTGAATTGGTTGTTGTTGTTTACTGTAATTACTGAAATTGGTTATTGTTGTGTGTGCTTTTGTTGGTGTTGTTACAGAATGGACACAGTGGACTTAAAAATTATAGTAGGGGGTGCCTTTATACCTTCTTTAGCTGGTAAAAATAGAAGGGTGTTAACTTGGGATGGTGGGTGGGTTTATTGGATGAGAAAAGTGGAAAAAAATAAGATAGATGTACACTTTTTGAGGCAAGCAGCTATACATGGGTTTGTGTATGTGAATGTGAAGGTTCCTAGGGGGTTTAGTTGCTGGTATAAACAAAAGGGCAAGTCTTGGGTGAATGGTAAAAGGGAGCTTGTTGATGGTGAGGTGAATGGTTTCCTAGAGTCTGTGAACAAAGAGGGGGCATGTGAGATGTATGTTACCAGTCATGAGCCAATTGAAGGAACTAACAAAACACCCTTCAAATGTATAGCTGGGAATGAGCTAACCCCTGCACAAAGGAAGGAACTGAAAAAGAGGTTTGGTGGGCCTAAAGTATATAAACCCAGCCCAGAACTTAGTAAGCCCACTGAAGAAGAGCCATTTAGGAGAAGCCCTAGGTTAAAAGACATTGTTATACATGACAGAGAGGCTGAGGAGAGGCTTCCTAGGGCAGAGAAAGTGAATGCTAATACACATAAAGGGAAGGGTAAACTCACTGCTGCAGATAAGGGTAAGGCTAAGGTTGGGGATGGGACTGGAAATTTTGCTAATTTAGTGAGAAAAATAAAAGAAAGAGTGAGGAGCTTAAGGGATGAAAGTGATGTGTTTAGTGATGAGGATGGTGATACAGAGTCTTCTGATTCTGAGTTGAGTGATTTTGAGTTAGAAGTTGATGAGGGAGAGGAGGACTTATACTCTGATGATGATGAACAGTGGTTGAAGAAAAAATTAGACCATATTAACAGTGAGGTGAAAGGCAGTTTGAGGGGAGTTACTGAAGGAGGGGATCAAAGTGATGATGAGGACACAGGGTTTGACATAGAAAGAAATCTACAGAAAATTGAAGTGAGGATTGAAGAGGAGGCAAATTGTGATTCTGATGAGCTAAAGAGTGTGGAAGGTGATTCAGATGATGATCAGGGTAGTGTTACTTGGTTTAACCCTGAGACAGACTTTGAAAGGGCTATCAAAATTGTAGTTGGTCAAAGGTTCAGTGATGTGCAAACAATGAGAAAAGCTTTGAGACAACATGCAATTGAAAATAGGTATGAGTATTACCTTCTTCACAATGATTCAAAGAGGCTAACAACATATTGCAAAAGGAAATGCAAGTGTGTGTATAACAAGAACAGTTGTAGGATAGTGAAGTGTACATGTAGTAAGGGTGTTAGGTGTAGGTTCAAGTTTTATGCAACAAGGCTTGTGAAATCAGAGGCTTGGCAAATTAAGACACTAAGGCTGAAGCATAGGTGTGTTAGGAGTAAAATGAACAACAAGGTGACAGCAGAGTTCCTTGCTGACAGGTACTTGGAGGAGTTCAGGGGCAACCCCAGATGGAAGATTAAACAGATTCAGGACAGGGCCTTGAATGACTTGGGGATCAAAATTACATACTCCAAGGCTTGGTTGGCTAGAAGCAGGGCAAAGCTTATAATATATGGCTCTTCATCGGAGCAATACTCAAAGGTTTGGGACTATGGGAAGGCACTGCTGAAATGGAACCCAGGGAGTGAGTGTAATGTGGTGGTGGATGATATTAATCAAATTGAAAGACCAATTTTTATGAGGATGTTTGTGTGCTTAGCTGCACTTAGGACAGCTGGTGCTGGTTTCTGGAGAGCTTGCTCAAGGCACTTTGTGTGTATGACCAAGGAGATGGCTTGACTTTTATGTCTGACAGACATAAAGTAAGTGGGTTGTGTTTGTGTTTAAATTACTTTGCTTTATTTGAATTTTCTGTACACTAACTTGTTAGTTTTGCCTTGTGTGTAGGGTCTCATAGAAGCATTTGCAGATGTGGCCCCCAAAGCTGAGCTCAGATTTTGTGTGAGGCATATTTGGTCAAATTTCAAACTGAAATTTCATGGTGCAACTTTCAAGGAATTGTTCTGGGCTGCTGCTACGGCAAGCACTCTGGTAAGCTTCTATTTAGGTTCTTTTATGTCAGTTTTATGGTGAACTATAATGTATGTTAGGAACATTTAGTTTTGCACATATTTGCATGTCTTTCTATTTTGTGAAAACTGTATGCCATGTGTCTATGTTGTGTTGAATGGTTGTCATGTGTGTGGTTGTATCAGTTTGAGTTTGAAGTTGCTATGGAAAGTATCAATTTTTTGGATGAAGAAGCATACCAGTGGTTGTCAAACATTGACCCCCAGCACTGGTCAAGGCATGCTTTCTCTACAAACTGCAAGTCTAACATGTTGTTAAACAACATGTGTGAGACATTTAATGCAGTGATTAGAGATGCCAGAGACAGGAATACCTTGTGTCCATGCATTTGCTTGCATAATGGACAAAAGGGATGATCCTGAGTTGTATGTGCACCCACATTACTATAGGGTGACATACTTGGCTGCATATGAGAACCCAATACAGCCAATGCCTGGCCCTAAGAATTGGGAAAAGGTCAAGCTCAGACAGCCTTTGCCACCTATGCTGAAAGTGCATCCAGGAAGACCTAAGGCAAAAAAGAGAAAGCTTGAACCAGGGGAGGGCACTTCTGCAGCACCTGAGGGCAAGAAGCCAAAGGTGAAGAAACAATGCAAGAACTGTGGTGGGTTTGGCCACTTTGCCAAAACATGCAAGGCTGAAGCAGCACCAGAACAGCCTAACCCACCTGCAACAAATCCAAAGGGTGGGAGGCCACAGATGCAGACTCCTTGGCTTAAGGAACAGAGAAAGAAAAGTGAAGAGAAAGCAGCAAGACAAGTATTTTGTGTATTTTGTGACTTGAGTGTATTTAGTGGCTTTGTTTCTGAGTCTTGTCATACTGTGATTGCAGGCTGCACTGAAGTTGCCACAATATCAGCCTCCAATAACAGCACAGGCTGGGTCAAGTAATGCTGCACCTGCAACTGCTGTGTCAAGCCAGCCTGCAACAAGAACAGAGCCTTTTCCAACTCAGCCTGTTACCAGGAGCAACAGGAGCCTGAGTCAGCCCACAAGAGTGCCAACAACTACTCCTCCCAAAGTCAAAATACAGACCAGGTCCAAGCTTCATGTAATGACAAGCAAGAAGGACAAGGATCTCAATAAAATGTGACCCTAGGTCTACTCATTAGTATTTTGTAATAGACAACCAAGTTTATTTGGTAGTTGAACAATGATTTTGCACAAAGGTGCCTTAACTTTTGTCTCAGCCAATGTAAAACAATTAAAAACATTGTGTTGCAAGTACTAATACGAAATGTGATATGTTTCTACCAAAAAGTTCCATTTCTCATTGATTTTGTTAAAAGTAGTACAAGAAATGTCATCCCAACATCCACACATAATAATTCAACAAAACAAAACATAAGTTGGGGATTTTTTTTGTTTATAAGAATTCCTAAATGAACCTAAGATCTAAAATACATAGCCAGTACCAAACCAAAACAACAAAACACAACAATAGCATGTACTGTGAGCATTTTCTTTGTTGTTGCATTGCTGCCATGCACTTCCTTGATCATCTTCTTCCTGTCTGAGCTAAGAGCTTTGCATTTCATCTTCAAGCTGTCAATCTCATTGAGCAAGCACCTCCTTTGTCCACTAACATCATCAACTTCCCTCTTCATGTCATTCAGCTCTCCCTTCATTAGTTTCTTGTCCAGCAGCAAGTTGTTAATCACCTCTGTTTGCCAAGGTGTTCCATCTGGTTGATCCACCCACTCAAAAGCTTTAAACCCCCTTGACTCAGTCACAGGATCATAGAATTTGCAGGTCCTAAACTTGCGTCCTGGGTTCTCCCTAGTCCAAGCAGTCAGCCTAGACATTGGAACTCCACATTGGCATTTTTTCTCCTTTGAGGGTGACATGCTAACTGAAGACATTCCCTTCTGAAATTCAGTAAGAACAAGAATGAAATTAATTGTATTTGAACACAATCACCATAATATAACCCTAATTTCAGTAGCCAATTCACATAACAAAAACCCCAATCTAATTTAATCTTACATGAACCCTAAGTATTTTAATTGAAATTGGGGTTTAATTGACCTCACAAAACGCCCAATTTCAATTACTCTTAGCAAATGCAACATAATCACGCAACGAATTGCCAAAAAATTACAACAGAAATCACGAAAATTGCTAGAGAATTAACGACAATGGCTTACCTTTTTGATGCTTGTTGTCGAGGAGTTCAATTGATTGTTTGATAATTAGAGGGTTTGGGATTGTTAAGGTTGCCCAAAAATACTGATTTGTGAAGAAAATCGCAAAAATTAATCTCCAATCTGCAAGAATTTGGTGTACTAATGAAGAACTAGGTTTAAATAAAAGGGAAATCGAGAGAAATTTGGGAAAAAATCAAAAACTAGCCGTTATGCTGGGCCCCACAAGCGTTTTCCGTCACCTGAGCTCAGATGAGGTGGTAAAACTGATGTTTAATTTTTTTATGAGGTGGTAAAGTAAATGTTTTTTTTTTTGGAGGTGGTAAATTCGACAAAGTCATTATTTGAAGGTGGTAAAAATGAAAATACCCTAATTATTAAAATAATTGTGACGTCTAAAATATTAGATTGAGAGAATAAGCTGATAATATATCATCTACTCCGTATGTAATATCCAAAATTGATTGGATTAAATATATTAAATTAGATTTACAACTTATAAAAAAATAAGGGCATCTCGTTCATACATTTTTCTAAAAAAAAAAATCGTGGTGAATGTTGTGAAATCTCGATGGTACACAGTGAAAAAATCGTTTTTGCAACCATATTTGAGAGATATTTTGAAGGATATAGTTTAGGGGTAGGATATAATTCATATGTTGTACTCCGATATCAAAGTGGATATTATAGGAGAGTGTTAGTAGGATATAATTCATATGTTGTATATCAAAGTGTAAAGGAGAGTGTTAGTAGGATTTGCTATTCTTTTGTGTAGGGTTGTTGAAACAGATACAACCTAAGAAACACAGGCAAATTCGATGTAAGCTGAATTTAATGAATTAGATATCAAAGACCTCTTTCCAAATGGTGTTAGCTATGCACAAACCTTCAACAACAAAGATCTGAATGGAACATATTATTCCCAATTGCACATTAATTAGACTACAAAACAACAAAGCAAAACTTTTACAACATTTACAATTCAACTAACACCATTTCCATAGCTTTTAGTTTCATCCGCAACCTTTTCCCATACACTAGCCATCTTTTATGCAAACCCAGCCTACAAAAGCAATATATTTCACCGGCATTAAACATACAATGTCGATCTTATTATGCAACAAAGTAATTACGTAGGACAAGAGGAACTTCATCACATCACAAAACGATTGCTTAAAACATTACTTAAACCACTACATCAGATCCTATAAGATGAGACATGGTTTCTTTTATCCACCTTAAGGCTGGCCTATAAACATCAAGATGCAAATCCCAAAAGCATAAACTAACTAGCAACGATTAAGTTATTTGGCTGATATAGACTGTACTGCTCTAAGCACCTGTGCTAGAACTTTTGATGTCACAGGTTTTACTGCATTAAGGCCATATTTCCATAAAGGTATTTAAAATTTATATAGCAAAATCATAATACACAAATACATTAAAGAACATATTACTTTAAAATGTATGTAAGAACTAATTAACAAGGTTATTTAAAGGTTTCTCTTTAGCTACTGGTATGTCAACTGAAATTATTCATCATCCAAAAGGAGAGAAAGCTGATATTCTTCATGAATGGTAACTATACTACTGTAATATAACACCTATTACTTTCTATATCTCAGCTATACCAAGTACTAATAATGCTTTGTGCATAGGGCAAAGTTTCATAATCAACAATTGGTAGATAGACAAGCAAAAGTGTTGCAAGTGTGATATCCACACACTCATGAAACACATATCAACATTCAAAATCTGAGAACCAAAAAAATAAAACATTCTGTTACATGCTCTAAAATTCTGTTATCACTATCTATTCCCACAAGATCATTAACATTTAATCAATTTATACTTCAGGCATCTAATGTATTACAGGAAGAATGCCATTGGTTACAAGTAACTATACCTCATTCTGATTTGAAAGATGTTATTGGTTACATAGGATGTTTAAATTGTGGGAAACGCATAGATATTCCTGTATTGACGCAATTCAACTGTGCTCACTGCAAAAAAAAAAAAAAAGGATAATGTTTCCGCATACTGGTAAATCATATAATGAATGCAAATTTCGTTAATAAAAAGGCTCAATCATATAGCAGTAATAGTATTTCTTTATGTTGTGGTTCCAGAGTTACTTTCAAATTTGAAGCTGATAACTTGCTATTTTATGCGGTTTTAGGGCGTATTTGAACCTAGTTTACCTGAACAAATTTGTGTTTTGGTTCACTTTTACCCTATTATTATGCAATTTTTGTGTATCTTATGCTTCACGGGTTGTTAGTATTTTTGTTGAGATTTTAGGTCCAAAGACGACCAAATGAAGCCCATGGTTACCAAACCGAGGTTAGAAGCAAGGAAATGATGGAAAGAATCCAAGTACAAGAGCATCGTAGAAGAAAACACGAAGAAAAGGGCCCAGAAGACCCTGCACGGCCGTGCAAGATGTTGCACGTCCGTGCAGGAGTGCAGACCTGAAGCCATCTTTCTGCCAAGGCCTGCACGGACGTGCCAAATATTGCACGTCCGTGCAGATGATGCAGCACGGACGTGCTTCCGTGATTATGAGGCAGCACGGCCGTGCAAGATGTTGCACGTCCGTGCAGGAGTGCAGACCTGAAGCCATCTTTCTGCCAAGGCCTGCACGGACGTGCCAAATATTGCACGTCCGTGCAGATGATGCAGCACGGACGTGCCAAAGGTGCACGCCCGTGCTGCAGCAGGTCGTCTTAAACTGAGTTTCTGCCTTGGTCTGCACGGACGTGCCAACTTCAGCACGTCCGTGCAGACCTACAGTTTACCCGTTTCTTGTTTTCACCGTCCTCTTATTTTAGGGGGTAATATAAATAGCCCCTTTGGACCATTTTAGGGGGGTTCCCAATTTTTCCAGATTTTCATACTCCTCTTAGTTTGAAACACAAAAATCCTCAAATTAGCATAGATTTTAGTTCTTGTTTTGAAGGTTTTCCAATCCAATCATTGTAGAAGACAAGTTCCACCATTGTTAGTCAATTATTGAAGCTTCTAGTAATTTTTCTTACTCTTTCTTTCTCTCTTCTATCTTTAGTTCTTGCTTTTTATTAATTGTTTGGTTGTTCTTTGCATGTTTAATTGTTAGATTTTACTTAATTCTTAGTTTTAATTTGTTCATGAATTCCTTGAAATCTTTAATTGCTTTAACTTCCATGGATTGTGAGTAGTCTAATTTCTAGGGTTTGGGTGAACCCTCAATGTAATCACCAACACTTGTTGCATGTACTAATTTGTTAATTGTGGGGTGTTAATTAGTTGAGCTTAAGAGGTTTCATTGTTAATTCTTGTAATTCGCCATTGCTTGAATTATTTATCTAGCTTCCTCAACGAAGGATCGAGAGATGAACTTGAGGAAGCTCCCTTATGCTTGATTGACTTGATTTGCCATGAGAATAGGAATTTCTAGTCAAGGGAATTTGCATGTTATCGTGAGGATGTTTTAACACTTGTTTCTTGCCCATAATCACGAGAGTAGGTTATGGTTTTGATGTCAAGTAATCCCTCTAGCTTGAGAGAGTAGTTGGGTGCATTTGATAACTTCCCCTAATTTATCCCCTAAATCACCATTTCTATGCATGCTACTTGTGGTCCGTGATGAAGTTGAGTGGTGTAACCCATGCCCTAGGCCTTCTTAATATTGTTAATCACCTCTTAGAATTAGTTGATTTGAATTAGAATAGTGTGACGTAATACCAACTTAAAACCCCCGACTTAATCTAGCTTGTTTAAACAATAACATTTGGTGGTTGATTCAACGCCTCTCATGGGTTCGACCCTTTCTTGCCCTTGCTACTAGTTGAGTAGGATCGAGTTAGGTCTTATTTCTTGATAGGTTGACGACGTCCTATCAGAAGCCATGGATGATTCAGGCACAATGGCTTTCACTACCTTTACTGCTGATACAGAAAAACTTTTTGGCAAATCAGCACAAGAAATTTACTTAATGAAACACTCTGTAAGCCTTTTATTTATATTAATTATTATTTTGCCAACACATTATATATTACTCAAAGTCTTTTGAATCATTGTTAACTCATATGATTCTTACTTTCACTCCTTGCACAGGAAGATATCCAGCTTTTTGAATCGATCCAGGAGAACATTTGTAACAATCATGTTCTTGTCCAAGTTGGCCCAACAACAGCTCTTTCAAGAAACAATATTCTTCAATGGTGTTTAAAAGGCATAGAAGTAGACAAAAAGAAACAAGGTGTCATCACCAAGCAAACTTATGAACACAAAACTGATTTCCCTTCATCTTTTGATTAAGTATATGAAAATAAACAGCTTGCCAATTCAGACTCAGTTTTACAAGATGATACTGATGATATCATTACGCCAGGTAATTTATATCTTTGCCAAAAAATCTTGCTTATTATTAATAAATTGAACTACCCAATCTAAAACACAACTAAATTTCAGATTCAAGTGTTACAAATGAAGAGCTACAGAATTTAGAGGACAATATTTCTCAAACTGATTTCAACACAGACTTATCTTGAGCACCACAAAAGAGAAGCTGTATTGAAGAACAAATGGCAAAAACACAGTGTTACAAAGAAAACTATTCCAAGTGTTCCTCATAACTTTGTTGAAACACAAGGTGTACGTCATATTGATTCAACTTCTTATCAAGGCACACCAGCTTCTGACACTGTTAAGATACAAGCTGTTTCTGTTAAACAAGAAGCACAGTTAATGAAGCCTATAGAGGGCAGTGCAACAAAAACACTACGCAAAAAATGATCACTAAATGCTTTGGTTGCAGGAGAGGAAGTAACGGATCCAGGAAAAAAAAAAAAAGATAACTCCCAGATTGAATACCAAGATCATTGTAACAACTGCTAGCATCTCTGTAATTAAAGAAAATATTGTCAAGCAAGCCTCTCCTACAACATTGATTGAGTAAGAGCACTAGTGTTTGAAGACTAGAAGATAGTGCAAGAATTCAATTAGTTCATTTTGGAAACAGACTATCTCACACTTTTGCATGAAAAACCAATCAATATAATTCTAGAAACTTTGGCTACCCATTTTGGTATGTATGGTTTTCTTTATAAAGAAGTGAAAGGATCACAATGGTAATGGAATGAACATAATAATA